ATTAAACAATAAACTTGTAACCTAAATAGTTTTCTTTAGCAGCATACATTTATAAATTTAAGTATATAGTTTATTATGCGATTACAATTCTTTTGAAATTTAATAGACCGGACCGGACCCGGATCTATGTTATAAAGTTTCGGACCCTTGATTTAGGTCCGATTTGGTTTTCGGATCTGATCCGGATCTTTAAAAATACCCGTCTGATCCGATTCATGCGGAACACTAGTTTTTATTATAAGCAGGCAGATTTTTAAGAAATATATCGGAATAAATTTACAGCGTAAAATAATTGGTTGACGAATTAAATATACATTTTTATTGTGCATTTGAATTTATATTCGAATTACTAATAGATTGTTATTACATTTCTTATGTTAACAATTAATGACTATATTACAATCATATTCGAATCATCGAAACGGGCCTATATCATAGGTTCTTAAAAGCGCATAATTATTTTGGGCCCTTATCTGTAATAATTTCAAATATCGGCCTCTATCTGTAATTATTTTCATTTTGGGTCCTTATTTGTAATTATTTTCGTTTTTGGGCCCTTATTTGTAAATTCCCCAATATTTAAACTGGAATTTTGTGTTGAAAAATTTTTCGACCTTGCTCGCAATTTGAGTTCGTTCATCTTCTACTTCGGAAGTACGTGCCTGTCAAAAAGCTGACCCGCACGGATCGGACGACCCGGGTAAGAGCTTTACTATTTATGTAGTATATAACTTATAATATCTTCTTATATTAGGTAAATTGCGTAATATATAGTAGCATTATAGTAGGTTTTTGCATGTTTTGAATTCTGACTCGTTTGACCCGGGTTAGAGTAATTTTGGACCCGGGTCAACCGACCCGGGTAATAACTCTAGTGGAAACTTGTCAATTTAAAATGTTATGATAAAGGAAATAGGCTTTCCAATACTTAGCAGTGATGTCACCAGCATTCGCATGTGCTTCGAAGCACTTCTATGCATTTTGCTTATTGCCATCCTTACCACGGTGTTCCTTTATTGCGGTCATTGAACTCATCAATGGGATCGTTTGATCTTAGGGAAGGGGAGCATCTTGGTAAACTATTTTTTGTAAAATCAAGGGTTATCATGATTAAAGTTAGGAATCATAAACTTTTACAAGATCTTTCCATTCTTTGGATACTACACCGTGAGAAAAACTCTCTCGATAATGGGTTTTGACTGCTTCGTCTTTATATGGAATTCTTAGTTTAGCAATCTCCCAAAGAAGTATACCAAAATTATCATTTAGAATAAGTTTAGTATTTTGGGCATTACCTTTATACCTTATATTTAATATAATATTTGTAGAAATTTCTCGGGGAGCCATGTATCGAACATTCTGAATACCAGCCTTAAAATTCCTAGTAGCATCAGTAAATCCCCTACTTAAACCAAAATTTGAAATTTTTGCATGTCTACCCACAGTTATTAGAATATTATCAGATCTTATATCATAATGTAATATCCGCACAGATGCTAAAAAATTCAAGCCATGAACCACTTCAAGAGCAAATCAACTTGTGATGTTCAATCCATCTCACATTTGTATCACGCTACCCGTTGTGTCGAAACATCTAATCTTCTTTAATTTCTAAATTCTGCCTATTCAGTCACTAAATATAATATGTCATTTTCTTTGGCAAGGCCAAAGAATCTTATTATTTTTTGGGAGTCTCTTATACGCTTAAGAATTGTCACTTGTGCATGCATGTATGTTGTCACGCATGTCATGAGCGTTGGACCGATACTTCTTTAAAGGCTAATTCAACCATATCAGCACTTCGAGTCCGCTTTACCGTTTTTCCACGGACTGTTTCTGGAGAAAAACAATCTTCGGTTTATAGGAATTCGTCAGCGACTATTTAAGTAATTGGACATTGTCATGATGAGACTTCTGTTGTTTCTCAAAAGTACTTTTCAGTACATAAACTTCTATATATATATTACTATATTAATCCTGTGAACTATATTAGAGTTTGGAACCGGTTTTATTTTTCATATGCTAAAACTGGTTTTAATCAGTTTTTACATATGAAAATAAAACCGGATCCAACTCTAATCCATATACGTAATATCACCATCGATTTTACGTATTCAAAAACTAATATAAAACAATCTACGGTAATTAGCGATAATATCAACAATCGTTTCTTGGCTATAATATATTGATTAATCAATCCGTTTCAAAACTTAGATATTTTCTTTCAAAACTTGTCTATCCTTTTCTGTCTGAATTTGATTTTCAATAGTAATCGAAAAGCTTAACTATATATCCATCAAAGTCATTCGTTAATTCATTAAAAGTTTGACTAATCGGTTTTGCCCGAGGATATTTCCGAAGCACAATAAACTAGCAAACTTTTTTATTCGCTTAATTTAAACCAATAAGACTTCGAAATATTATGAGTGCTACCAAGGGAAAATGTCATTTCGGACTTTCAATTACATTTTCACCGGACACAATCCTTAATTAGAAAGTGTCCGGTCAAAATGTAATTGAAAGTCCGAAGTAACATTTTCCCTTGGCAGCACTCATATAATTTCTCTCAGTTCCGAATATCTAGCAGCTTATGCTCAGCAGTTTGATAAGTGTCCACCAGTCAATGGAAAAAATTCAGCAAAAATAACTCGTGATAGTATCCGAGGAATCTAATACTACTATTGCGTCATTGGATGGTTTTTTTGAATTTTCATTACCAGAAGTGGTGCTGTCTGTGCCACCAGTGGTATCTTGTTTTTGGTGACTTTTTCCGTGTTGATTAAAGGTAATTTGAAAAGAGACGTTTAATCGATCAACAGAATCCGGTCAAATTTATATAAAATTTTATTTTTTAAAGACTTTTGTTTCACGTTGCTCAATTTCCGGTTGGGCGTTTACCTCAAAATTAGGCCGAGTTGCATAAGCTTTGTTAAACGTACGTACGTACATAGTTTCGCGAGAATACAAAGCACAAACTCAATCATATTTTTTTTTTTTAAAAAAAAAAAAAAGGAATCGCGAGATGATAGGTTCAAAATTTCCTCATTTGCTCCGAGTTGATTTATTAGGACCTTGCAATTTAAAAATAATTTCGCAATGGAAGTAACGAAATCAACATGAGTCTCTGCTAGAAAAGAGGCCCTTCATGAATCATGTAAATTATGAAATCCAATTAGCGTTAGTCATTCTGTAATCTGATTTTTCTTTATTTTATATATCTAAAATTTTAGATCGCTATCATTATTACTTGTTATGTAAAGGGAATTAAGAATTTTAATTGACTTGTTACTTATCGTTATCTACTTTTTTTAAATATATATATATATATTAAGAAATTAATAATAGTGTCGGTAAGTGTTTTAAGACTTCAAATAATGAACTTTTTTATACATAGGACAAAAACATTAAAGTTGAATTAAGCTTAGTTATAATCATGATTCTAAATTTAGGATCTTCTAACAACATAATTAACAATACTAAATATATTTGAGAATATATACCTAAATATTTCAATCAAAACAAAGTATACACAATCGGAATTTATAAAGTTCAGAGTATTTGTAACGAAGGCAGTCTTTTAATTGCATATTTTTTGATACTAGATACATTAAGTTAAGCTACTTATGATCAATCCACTCCGTTCTGAAGTTGTGATCATTTTACGGGCTTGTGGGAAAGTCACGTTGCTCGTACTCCATTTGCCACGTATATTTACATCATTATTACCTTTTCAAATTTTGCCAGAATTTACCGCAGTATTACAACGCATAATTGAAATGACTCATGCCGATCATATCCATCAGGTTATAAAGTAGCCACAAACAATACGGCTAAAACCGACTTTTTTGACATTTCAGTCTCTTTTTTTTTTTTTTTTTTTTTTTTTTTGTCAATTCTGTTTTTACATTACTAAATTATAATCAACTATATATTAAACCATTTCGTCTTCATTATTAATTTATTATCATCTACCCTTTTTCTTAAAGTCTTATGCAGAGTGTATCGTCACAAGATAAACGTACAATTATTCAAATAGTCGAAGAAATATATTCAAAAATACAACCTACATTACACCCATTGGATGCTTCGGATCGAACTTTTGTTGCAATTATTAAAGCACTGATTTCACTAAATAATGAACCAACCAATCCCAGACAACTTGCGGCATGTATTCAAAAGCATGGGTTCACGACGTTAGGGTAATTTTCTTTTCGGCTCGATTTTATATTATGTGATCCGGTTGTTATATTTTTTAATTTTTGAAAATTTTAGCGGTAATACTCCGTATGCTACAGTTTCTGGTCATATATCGACCCATTTTACTCGTGTACGAAAGCAATTAATACCTCGCCCGGTTCTTGGGAAGGTTTCTCATCCTACGATGACAAAAAGATTACTTTACTATTTATTAGACCCTGATGATATTTTGCGAGAACATCTTTCTCGCTACTTCCCATTCAATGAAACTTCTATTTCAAGACATTCTCAACGACCTATTTCACCGCCCTTATCGAGGGAAGGTACTCCACGATCATCATATGAAACCGCATCAGTTACCGAGAATCAAATGTCTGTAGAGTCACCATGTCAGTTAATAGAAGAAACTCATATACAAGCTGAAACAGATGTATCTTCACCAAAAGAAAAATTTCAATATGAAAATTTTGAAAAGCCTTCAAAAAACGAATTCCGATTTACGGACGAAAATGAAAATTTTGAATCATTTACAAAACCGGTGACTTCAGCGATACAACATGAAACGGCAAATGTTGAAATGGATGTTACTTCAACCACTGTAGAAAGCTCTTCAAGCGATAAGTTGCTTGAAGGTGCTACTGAACCAAGTACGAGTGCAACTAATATTTTAAGTGGGAAGAAAAGAAGAGCCGAAAATGGAGAGAGACACGAATTTGTGTCACAGTGTTTACCTAGACCAACTCCTGTTTATCTTACGTTCCCACATTACATATTGCCACCTCGTCGACCACGAAATCTGAGCTCACCTCGAGTTCCGCTTTCACCTGATATTCGCATGGTCAAAATAAATGGCTTAGAGGTTTTTTCCACAAAGATTAAAGTGGGAGAAACCGAAGTTCAAATATTACGTCGCGTTGATACAAATTGTGTTGATAAATTTTCTTTAATACAAATCGGTGAGCGCAAGCCTCGATCCACAGATAAAAGATGGTAAGTTGTTTCAATATCAATTTCATTAAAATGACTTATTATAGATGCATTAGAAAGCAATTAAATATGCTTGCATGTACATAATAGGATTACTTTGGAAGAAGCACAAACATTAGCGGCAAAGTTAAATATCGAAGAAAAGCTTGGCAAATTTCTTGATCCAAGACTTTTCGACTATTTTGACGTTGATTTAGATCTTCCAGTGCCAACCGGAACATGCTGTGGACCATTAGCGGGTTTCGCTTACTGGTTTCAGTGCGTGAATCCTAAAAAAATTTTTCTGGGTTGAAGGAACATTAAAGAACCATTGAAGTAGCGGAAAAATATTAAACATTCAAAACATTTTGTGGTATCAGGTATTGCTAATCCAAATAAACGCCAATATGAACGTTATAATATTTAGACTTACAAAAAGTGTATTGGGGACGAGATGAGATGTTCCCATTTCTTGTAATAAAAAAAAAAAAAAAAAAAAAAAAAGAAAAAAAAAGAGAAAAAAAAATGAAAAAATTGAAAAAATTGAAAAAGGAAAAAGACAATGCTTAATTAAACCTAGTCATCAAAATAAACTCGGATGAGTATTTAAAAATCTACTAGTCAAAGTTTGTCAAATATAATAGAAAAAATTTGGCTTTATCTGTTAGGTGAGGTTTCTCGATTATTTAATGATTAGTATTATATTATCAGTTCAATACTTATTGTCTTTTTTTAACAGTTTTATTCTCAAAGATTGCAAATGTTTAAAAAAAAATTTTTTTCATCTTTGATTTTATTAAATTGTCTCTTTATTATAATACAGTGGGATCATTATAATAAAGAAACTTCACTGTACAAGTGAATTTCTTACAAATTTTGATGTCGATTCGATTCCGAACTTGTAAATACTTTACAGTCATATATCTGTTATACCAAATCTTATTTACATAATACATTTGAGCTGATTTATATCCTCCAAAAAAATCTATAAAACAGAGGCGGAAGTCATATATATATGAGTGGCATGACCATATTTTAAATATGTGTTATAGCCGCAGCAATCTTCAATATGACTTTAGGCTGTGTTGAATTATACTAATTGCTTGTCAATTATAATAATTAAAAATCGAACAATGACTCAGATTGATTCAAGTTGGTAAATTTTCAAGATATTTTTTAACGAGAGTTCGAAGCGGTTTTATTTTTACATATATTGAACCAAATTTAGCTGAGTGAGAATATGGGGTTACCAGATGGCTGGCCATGCGATTATTAACTTGAATATTATTATTTTTTTTAAGGATACTACTATTCTCCATAAATTTTTACTATTCACACCATGAATGGACATAGATTATCTCAACTATATCACATTTTTATCTCTATGTACGCACATCTATAGTGCGAATAGCAAAAATCTATGATGCAAATAGTATGTACCCTTTTTAAGAGTTTTTTGGAAAAAATTATTCTAAACACAGCAAGTGATTATTAACACAATAGTAGAATGTAGTGCATCCATTAAATCTTTAAGAAAACGCATGTGTCTCATTAAAGATATTATAAGTCGCAATTATACATAGCGGTAACAAAATGTTTTATCCCGTGCGTTTAAAAATATTTAAGTGAAATCAAAATCAATTGTATGGTCGATCGAATAATCAATTTCTTATAAAAAAACAATGTTTGATATTTACTAAATCTACTTAATAATACAACCTCAATTATATTACTATAAGACTTTATTTCTAATAAACTCGCTTTATTTTTTTCAAACTTCCAATCTATATAGAGTACTACAGTATTATTAACCTTTTTGTGTCAAAATTCTTGATCAAATTTAAAAACCATATTGTGCCTCTTTCATCTGATACGTAAAAATAATACGTATTTACAATTTTTTATTTTATGCAAATTACACTATATATATATTTATACTTACAATATTTATTATTAGATGCTGAGAAATTAATAAAAAAATACATTTTGTAAAACTTGATTTTTATAGAATTGTAAAATCTATATTACATACTATAAAATTATTAAATAAAAAATATTTTAAATTAGAGAATTATAATAGGGCTGGGTGAAACGCGTTGTAAATTAGTTAGGGTGTTTAGCTATGTTTTGCAAAAACGAAGTTCACCCTCATATGATCTACATAGCGGATTTTACGATGCATGTCGGGGTGTAAGTTAAGAAATCAACCAATCATATAAAATTGTAAATCACGATTCGTGATTGACCAATAAAATTCGATCACGTATACTTAAAATATACCCGGGGTGCATTGTTTAAAAAACAAAAGCAAAAGAAGTCGTCTTGGTGCCCGGGGTGGTAAATAATTTGCCACCCTATCTAAATTAAATACTAAATTGACTGACTGACCCTAACTCTAAGGTGATGTGCGTCATCAAATTACTATTCAATTTAGACGGGTGGTATAGGTATACCACCCCAGGTGGCACACAGACCTTTTAAAAGAAAGGTTAATAATCAAATGATTTGTCACGCAGATCATCTGTGTAAAATTTTTACATATTATGAAATAATTGATGGTTCCGATCAATTCACTGACAGTAACAGGAGGGAACGTTGATGTTATATTGGGGTATTCGATCAACTAAGTAAATCAAAACTATATGTAGTTCCATATAAAAATTTAATTAATGAATTTTTTTTTTATAATTAATGTGATCGACATCATGCATATAATAGAATTAAATATAACTGATATATGCGCAAGAGCAATTACATATATACTACAGTATTAATAGTACTAATAAATATAAGAATACAGCAATTATAATGATTATTATAAATTTATTTATGAATTTAATAAATTATTAAAGAAATTTGAGGCAATTTCTTCAAATTCTGGGAATTGAATGTTTTGCAATACAGTAAGTAGTTGTTTTGTTCTTTGAGCTTGTACTTTTTCAAAACCCAACTTCAAATTTTCATGCCAATCTTATCAAAAGTTAAGCGAAGCTTAGATTCTTTTAATAATAAAGTATATTAGCATGGGTTTTTAAATCTAGTTTATTAAACAGTCTCTTGACTTGTTGCTGATGAAGGATAATAAAGTAAGAAAAAATGTGCTTGTCACCGGCGGTGACAGTAACCGGATTTGGGTTAGGGTTGGATTTAGAGTTAGAAGTAGGTTTATTATTTAGTAAGATGCCTCAAGAAACACTTTTTTTTAGAACACAAACGGTGGTTTCATAGGCATAATTTTGAGATATTGCGATTTGTAATTTTTTGAATTTTTTTGTTATACCTAATCTTGCAATCTGATTGGTTTAGAACTGTCACCGCCAGTTACAAATAGATTCGTACATAAAGTAAATATGAGTTTGAACAAAGTTATAAAGTTTAGAAAATTTATGTAATTCTAAAGTATCAGCTTGGCAAAAATTTTTGAATTTTTTATAAAATTCAATATTGTGTAATAATAATTTTTGAAAGTTAAAATTATTAGTATTTCCATTATTAATATCATTTTTTAGTTCATTTGCATATTCTAATTTCAATTCAGAAGGTGATTTAATTTAATTCTTTTAAAAACTGCATACCAAAAACTATTTTGAATAATTGTGCACAATTTTCATCAAGTCAACAAATTGCAAGAGGTAAATATAATCATTGTTTTATCTATTTTTCAAAAAATTTATATACTTTGCTTAATTCATATTTTAATTTATTAAATATTTGCTCAAACTTATTACTAGGTAATATATTAATAGCTTTCAATAGCTTATTAGTAAAAAACATTTCAATGTTATCTTTAATATTTCTAAAATAATTCTTTTACTTATGAATTTTATTTGGTATCTCATATGCTTTTTTATCATTTGGTAATTATACTAATTTACTATCTTGTATTATTCTAGGAGTAGGAAATTGAGTAATGGCAAACTGAACTAGGAATTATAAAAATGTTTTGCAAAAGTTAACAAATATTTTATTTGAATGTTAAGTGTTAGTTTCATAATTCATAATTTAAAAAGATGCTAGTCTTTAAGATATGCTTTTGGCATTTTATAGTAATTTTCTAGTTGTTTAATAAACCATTGTATAAATTGTATATAAGCTTTACAATGATTAAAATACTGTTTAATAGTTTGTAACTTATATAGTAATCAAAAGGATAATTGGTACTGTTTGTAGTAAAATTTTAACAGTTTATTATATAAATTTTTAATTGTTTTAGATAAATATTGAGAAGTTTATTTTTTTTTATTTTTTTTTTTATTAATATAATGCCATAGTAAAAACTTTATTACAAATAGAAAAAATAATTCTAAATCTAAAGATTTCTAACTACATTTGTGTTACATAAGACACCCAATGTGACATTATATCCCCTATTTCCTATAAAATGCTATAGTTAATTATTTCAAATTAATTTCTAGCTAAGATAGGTTGGAAAAGACCTAAGGTGATAGTCATGGCATTAAGTAAAGCATGCAGTTAAAGTATATCCTTATAAGAGCCATTTATTAATAAAGAGATTAATATCTAAAGGTTGTATTGTAATTTGAGAATTATTTAAAGAAATAAATGTATTTGGAAGATAAGATTTTGTACGTTTAGCTTTGCCAGTGATATTTTAAGAGAGTTCCCATTGATGTTGATGGATGTTACAAATAGACCATAGTTCTTAACAGTACCAAGATAAGAGATTATTAGAGAGATTAATAAGAAAAGAGTCAGTATGTTTGT